GTGTGTATGTGTGTTCGGAAGTGAGTGAACTCTGTCATCCACATTCAACTCATCAGCCAGGAAAGCTGGGAGGCTGAAATTTTGGTAACATATTCTCACCCCGTGTGTTATCCTCCCGTTTTTATGCGTTTTTGCATATATGTAAATTGCAGAAACGCATACTGGGAAAAGACTGTCTGCGTGTGTGTGTGCCTGTGTGTTCGCACTTTTTGTCACCTACTTTCAACTCACGATTTAGAAAAGCTAGAAGGCTGAAACTTTGGGGATATGTGCCTATACCATGCGCCACCCTCCCTTTTTAATTTCATCCCCCTTGGATGCCTGCGTGCCGCGTACGGACGTTTTAAAAAAATATGCAAATTTTTGGTGGGAAAGGGATCCCGGAAACCACACGAGCTAAGGGGCTGAAACTTTGTAGGAATATTCCCTGTGCATGTACTAGCTAAAGATTTCAAATTCAGCCCCCAGTTGTACGTGCTTCTCAGGTAAGGGCGTATAAAAGTTTTAGGGGAAAATTGCTAACTCGGGTACCAGGAAAGCTAGAAAGCTAAAATTTTGGAGGGGTGTTCGCTATCGAAGTACAACTAAAATATTTCAAACCAGCCCCAAGCAATGCATGGTACTCACGTAAGGGCATATGAAAGTTTCTGTAGGAAAATTGCTAACTCGGCAATCAGAAGAACTAGAAGGCTGAAATTTTGGGCGGATATTCCCTGCTCACGTGCAATTTAAAAATTTCAAATTCAGCTTTCCAAGCATGTGGAGTACCCAAGTACGGGTAGGTGAAGGTTTTAGCGGGAAAACTGCTAATTCGGTAACCAGAAAAGCTGGAAAGCTGAAATATTGAGGAAGTGTTTTCTGTCCAAGTACAACTCATGTATTTCAAATTCAGCCTTGAGGCATGCGTGGTTCGTAAGTACGAGCACTTAAAGTCTTGACGAAAAAATTTCTCACTGGACAACTAGGTTACTTTTAAAGAACGACTGCCAAATGAAAATTATACATTTACTTTACAAAATTTATGGTGATTTATGCTGATGACCGCAAAAGGTAAGTGTAAAGCAACAGCCATTCATACAGTCCTGAGTAATTCAAGTCCGGTGCAAAAACGTATGATCGCACGGGCTCGCCCGGTGCACTCCAGCCTGGGTTAAATTTTCGCTCATACTTACATCCCGCACATGGAGTCCTCGAAAAAATGTGCAAATTTCTTTGATGGGAAACGATTAATGCAATGACTTCATCCGGACGACGCCCTTTCTCACTACACGTGCAAGGAAATGAAAACACAGCCAGTATGAGACCTATGATTAAACTGCAGCAAGGAACTTGTTCTGCTTTTAACAATCTGCAAGTTTAGCCCAAAAAATTACGGTCGCACAGGCGAGCCAGGTGCGTTGCAGTCTGGATTTTAATGGAAAAGAATGGAACACTTAGAATACTAATGTTTATCTCAAACCAGGCTGGGACGACCAGGCTTGCCGGTGCGGTTATGCGTTTTTGCACTAAACTCGCGTATTGCTAATACCGGAATGATTCCTGCGCTCTAGCCCAACACTTGTGCTCATATTAGCCGCGCTCTGGCGTCATCCGGCGTGCAGGAGATGAAGGTGTTGCATTACAGAGCCGCATAGACCTCCAGGTACATAATTACCAGTTTTTTGCATGAAGCACAGCCGCTTTTTCGGTGAATACTCGTTTTTTGAAAAAATGCAAATTTCCAGTTCATCAAAAAGTGGAAATGTTGTTAGAACGGTCATTCGTCAAAAAATCCAAGTGTGCAAATGAACTGGATGTTCATTTATTAATACATATTTGGATGAGCTGCAAAATTTGGATGAGCTACATATTTGGATGAGCTGTATTCGTTTCCGATTTTTCAGTAAAGTCAAGTATTTCTCGTAACCACCTGCAGGAAATTTCACTTCCAAGCAGAATCAAGACCGCACTTGAAATTAGAATATCCCAGTGAAGTTTCAGTCTTGCATCTGATTCGGTAAGCGAAACATTCACTTCACTACAAATATCTTTGAAGTGCCCTAAATCGTGGCGTAAATGCAAATCGGTATTTATTTTAGATATACCATTTTCAATGTGGGTGGTAAACATGCTGACAGAATTTCAGCCACTGTTTTCTGACAAGTTTTCGAGTTAGACCAATATCAAGTTACAAACTTTAACGTGATCTTGCGTGCTGCATAAGCGTACGCAACAGCTGAATTTGAAATCTTTAGCTTGCAAGTGCACAGAGAATATCCTTGCAAAGTTTCAACTTTGTACCTTGCCTGGTTCGCAAAATCATTCCCCGCCAACGAAATTTGTATATTTTATCGGGAGTCCATACGGCGGGGTCTGAACGCGTATGAGCGAAGATTTTAAAATGGAAGGATGACACACGGGATAGGAACATATACCAAAATTTCAGCCTCCCAGCTTTCCTGATTGCTGAGATGAAAGTGGGTGACAAAGTTCACTCGCTTCTGAACACACACACACACAAACGAATTTTCGACAATATGCGTTTTCGCTGGCAGTAGCGGCGCTATAGCGCTACACAGCAGAAACGCATAAAAATTACTAGCGAAGCAAGCTGCTAATAATTTGGATTGGACAGGGAAAGTAAAGTAGTAGAATTACCGAATCCTCGTGGTGTGCCGGGTGGCGAATTCTCGGGAGTGAAGTTTTTGTGTTCGTGCTTATAATCTGGAACATATACAACCGGTTGCCACTTATACTCCGCACCCTCAACCGATCGCCCTTCAAAATATTTTAAGTAAGTAGTAGAAGACTATGATTATCAAGCTCTTTATATCACTGAGATCGGCTGAAGGAAGAGAAAACTCTATAATTTGAATATCGAAAATGACAAAGTAGTGATTTTAGCGATGATGAATACACAAATTTCTCACGGCCGTGTCTGTGTGTGTCTGTGTGTGCGCTGCGCGTCTGTACCGATTTTTCATCTCGAGACCCACAAAAGCTACGGGGCTGAAACTTTGGGGAGTTAATCTATATGCATGTAAAATGGGCGATGGGGGCCCGTACATGCATATAGATTAACTCCTTTTTCAATATGAAACGATTTACTAGGGAAATATGCATGGACCAGAAATGTGCGTGAAGACCGAATTTCCGCGTATATCCTAAGATTTTTTTTTCTGGAGGAGATTTTGAAGGGAGCCCGGCATTTTGAGAGCCGGATTTCTTCGTTATCCTACTCCGCAATTCCTGATATTTAGCTTTAAAGCCAACGAAATTTCTTGCCCAGATTATTGCAAAACTATGGGTGAACAGTTAGAATCTTACAGAAAGTAAACTGTAAAGACATACCTGTAGAATAATTACTATCGCTTTCGGTCCCGGCGTCAACATTTATTGGTTTACG